AGTGGAAGCAGTGTAAAATTGTCCTTGTTTTGTACTATTGCAGCTATTATAACACATCTATTCTGGATGAAAGAGATGCAAGGAACAGCCATCAATTCATCTGATGACATCACGAATTGCACTCCCCCGCATTGTTGCTGAAACAGGAAGAAGAAGGCTGCCAACAAAAAAGATGAAATGTAAAGTGCATTTTCTTGCAAGTGAAAGACTTTTTGATGGAAATAAGTGCATAACTGTTGTTCAATTGTTGTATAGATACTGTGATTTGATTATTGAAAAATCAAAAAATATACTAATCTTAGTTACCCTTTAAACTAAAAAGTAATTTTGCATTCTATGTTAGTTAGTTCTATTTACAAGAAATAGGCAAGAAGAAAGAAGGAAGGCCATTAGGTAATTAAACAATAGTTAAATTACTTGTACTTTAAATTCAAATTTCTTAACTAAAGACTTGGAACAGTTCAGGCTAGCTCTCCGAAGTAAACATAATTTTAAGTATAAATTAAAGGCTTTATGCCATTGTAAATTAGGGCAGTTGGAACTCATTGAATAGGGCAGGAGGGAGAGGAAGGGGAGTAGTGAGGAGACGGGAGAAGAAACAAAGACAGGGGAGGAGACAGAGTCAGGCGAGGAGACAGAGACAGGAGAAGTGACTGGGACAGGGACAGAGAGAGACAAGCGAAAGAAATTTAAAGTATCAAAGGAGCATTATTGAAATGAGTAATCACTATTTTGTTTTCTTTGCTATGAAGAAGCGAAGGCAACACAGAGGAGGAGGGTGGGATAAAAGCATGGCAGGGGAGACCAAGGAGGAAGAGGAGGAGCCCCTCATCCAACAGTAAGGAAAGAAACATTATGAAACATAAGAATAACAATAGTCTTCTATAGGATTCATCAGCAAGTGCGATAACTATTAATTATTTTAACGTTAAATGTAGATCTCTTAATTATAGTTCAAAATAAAAATCTAAAAAATATTACCTGTAAACTGAAGCAGAAGTGTTGTCTGGATGTAAATGAAGTATATGACCCAGATGATGTTATTACAGTTCACAAAAAGGACTTTATTGGCACTAGAACACAGCAATAACTCTACAACTTTTGTGGGGCTCACACTGAAAAAATGAAGTTGCTTTATATATTGTAATTATTCAGGGAAGTTGTTGTCCACCACTAACTAGCTGCAGATCAAGTAAAATTTCTGTAGTTCTTTGCTTTGTTTTTATAAAAATAAATAATAAACTTTTAATTAATTAACCAATAATTGGAATATTTAGATTGTTTACGGTATTGCTCACTGCGGAGTTTTAGAAATTATTTTAAACTTGTTACTCAGTGTTTGAGATTACAAAAACTTGGTAGTACTAGGCCTACAGTCCAAGAAGAGTCATTGGTAACTTTTAAAGAGACTTTTGAAGTTATTTTGTGATTATTGGTTTTTCATTTTAGAGTGTATCTCTGCAGCCAGTCATAAATTTCGCAATACTTTTCGCTCAGAATAAAGTACTAATAGGAACTTCATTTCCACAGACTTTTCGTTTTTCAACTTTGTTATTTGTCATCTCAATTTATTTTGTAAGTTTATTGAACCCTCCATTCTGACCACGCCTGTCACAAATTGCATACAAAGTAATGTAATATAGCCATTATTTAAACATTTTGGCAGGTACTAAAATGCCTAGCTCATTGTCAGTGTTGAGAGAAAGAAAATTTCTGGGAGAAACTAGAGGACTAGACTACTACAATCCAATAGATTTGCTCACTGTGATATGTGGTTGTAACATCAATTTAATAAAAAGTATGGGAAAGCGAACACCAATACAGAGTATCAATAGTCAGCATGGATGTCCCACCATCACTAACTTTAATGTTAATTACAAGAACAGAAGATCTGTTGGTGATAGTCTATCTCATATCTTAGTAACTGATAATGAAGGGCCCTTTGATGTTTATGACATACCAAAGAAGTCATTATTACGTAGCTATTTAGAGCATGGCTCACGAGTTACTGGACTTACTTGGTATCAGCAAAAATCTTTTGTTTCTAGCTCAGCTGATGGAACAGTACGTTCATGATTTAGCAAACAGGCACAGTCATCTCTGCCTTAATCTTTGTGCTGGTGTTTGTGGTGTTCACTTTACCCCTTTTTCTCCTCATTTTCTTGCATTTGGAATGACAAGAGGGAAGTTTTATGTTTACGACATTCGCAAAACAAGTACAACAATCATTGAAGCAAAGGCACATATAAAGACAGTGAGCAATGCTCTGTTTGTGTCTGACTTTAAATTACTCACAGTAGGAATGGACAATACAGCTAAACTATGGGATCTACACAAGACAGTTTGCACAAATACTTATGAAGATAGTACTCATGAAACATGTTTTGTTGGTGTTGATAGCTTACGTGATTATGTAGTCCTTGGAGGTGAAGATAATTCTGTTCGAGTGTATAAAAAACATGATTCAAAAAGCATTGTCACTAAACGACTCCACCCATCATCAACTTACGTTTGTGGTTGTGCTCTTGTTGCCATAGAAGAATTAATAGAGTTGATTGCAGCTGGAAATCAAGGTCATGTTGTATACTTGAAACTGGACACAGTTTAATTTGAAGTTATTGTTAACTTGATATTACAAAATTTATTAAAATTATTTTATTTTTTATTGTTAAACTAAATGTGCGGGCAAAGTATAAAGTTAGGAAGAATATTAATATAGCATAATTACAATAGTAAGCAAGAATAGATATAGAAGGTTCATGTAAGTTGTAAACGTTACGAGTTATTGTTAAAAGAATGATGAAATGCATGCAGAAAGTATAATAAATAGCAATTGTTATAGTTAGTTTAGTCTGAATGAACTCTTAAGTCCCCATTCATAAGGTCTTCTATCAAGTTGAAATTAAATATTTCACTGCTATCTTCATACTTAATGTGATGTGTTTCACCATCATAGTCCAGTACAAAGCCACTAAACCACTCTTCTCTTTCATTATCAACTAAAAACTTATGCATGACGCTTTTACCAACAAGTGAATTTGGATCACAGATGACAGTTGAATCTGCAATAAGCTTTTTAACTTCCTCAATTAAAATACTAAGTGAACGTTTCCGACCATTGCTAGTGAACGTGATGCTAGTCTTCTGCATTAGACGCTTTTTTTTTATTCTGACTTGTTCTTTTAATCAATTAAAAATTTTCTCATTTTCTTTCTTGGATGACAATCCTTCACGTTTAATCCGAAACTGTGCTGTTTCAAATTCAGCTAATAATGTAATTAAGTGAAGCTTTGTTAGTAGTTCCTTTTCTGCTGCTTGTTTTTTCTTTAAACAGTCTCTTCTTTTTCTGCTCAAGCATTCTCTCTTGTCTTCTTTTGGCAACTGACTTCTGTATTTCAATAAAATCTTCTCCAACCTCTTTTAGTCTCTTCATAGCTAATTCAATGATGACATTCTGTCTTTTCTAGGGTAATTCATTAAACCACATCATTGTGTGATTCTTTTTAATTGCCACTAGATTACTCTTAGTGAGCTAAATTAAATTTGGTAGTGCAGTGCAAAGATAATCAATTAAACCCAAAATTGATTCACATAAATCATTGCTGGGTTCTAGATTCTTCAAAATTTCACTTGTCTTGGTATTAGGATTCCAATAGATACCATCTGGTAGAAAATCCATGCGTATGTACTGAGTTTCTTCATAGACAATGCTCCGGCTGTTATTATTGAATAAAATGATGCATTATCAGGTAAGCTCTGAAATAGATATTCCTGAATGCATTCATTAACGGTACACATGTGTTTGTGCTTTCTATGGTTAAACTCAGTATCACAATAGAGTCTTCGTTCTGAAGTAAAATCTTCATAGTAACGATCACACAAGCTTTCAGGGCACTCTACTATTTTTTCTAAAAAAGTTGTAATTTTAAAAGTGCAGTCACATGTCATAAACAGACTTTTTCAGATCATTAGACTTTGCCAATAAAATTAAGTCTGCAAAGTAAATAAAAAATTTCTATAAATAAGAAAAAGTAGGGTTGTCAAAAAATAAAAGAAACAAGGGGGTTGAGTTCAATCAGAATAATAATTATTAATTCAATCAATAATTGTGACCATAATTGACAAAAGGTACCTTATGGCGGATAGTGAAATTTGTCTTTCTAGCCTAAGAAATCCAACTTCCTGAGCCCCATTTATCATAACATTACTCCACAGGATGCAAAAAGTTAACATGAAACTTTTAGAAACAATGATTGTGTAACAAAGCACTCACAGGTTGATATTTGCCATTATTAAGATCAATTTTAAAATCCGCCATAAGGGCCCTTTTGTCAATTATGGTCACAATTATCAAAGTTAATTAATAAAAAATAATTATTCTAAAAAATAATACATAAATTTCAACCCTACTTTGCAGAATATGCTAATATTCAGACAACAATATAAATTAATGAATTTAAATTATTTATGCCTCTGTACTTAGTGATTGCCTTAATACATTGCTATGAGTATGATGTAAATTAAGTATTCTGATAAATAAAAATCAGAATTTTTACCTAGCATTGATTGAATAAGTTACTGTCATCACAAGTGAAAATTCTAAACTACGGATGATTAGTTTGCTATTGCATTCTTCAATTTTTGTGATGCATTACCATAAAAATTAATAAAATTAAAATATTAATGTATACTTGTTAGATTGATTTTAAAAGTAAAAGCATGGATACATGTCTTTAGTATATATACATTTTAAAAATTTTGATCTGATTATGTTACATTGTTAGGAATTGTCAGTAGGGCCAACTCGCACACTTGCTTAGGCTGGAACTAAGCAGTTGGGTTGTCATTCTTTCATTAAACTTTTGTCATGTTAAAGGAATTAGTAATCCTTCATTAAATGCTGCAAAGTAGGGTTGAAATTGATGTATTATTTTTTAGAATAATTATTTTTTATTAATTAACTTTTATTATTATTAATTGAATTAATATTTATTATTATGATTAAACTAAACCCCCTTGTTTCTTTTATTTTTTGACAACCCTACTTTTTCTGATTTATAGAAATTTTTTTATTTTCTTGTTTCAATACTTTTTATTCAATTTGTTAATTATTGTTATATTTATATCAGTATTATGTTTATTGATATTAATTAACTAGGTTAATTACACATCATACCACATCTAGAAACTTGAAAATTTGAAATGATAATGAAATTCATAGCTAATAACTAATTATTAATGTGACGTAAAATCCTGTTTTGGTTCATAATCTTTAATAACCATGCCTGATTTCCCGCTCAAATGCACTTTATCAAGTTTGTCACTGAGCAGTACAGTCCTTACTTTAAAGTTTAGACCTTAGTGAATTTGCAATCAGCAAGAGTGGATAAGGAGGAGGGGAGAGTGTCTAACTGCCTTATACTGCTAGTGATATGTGTGCGTAGAAGTCTTTCACAGTTTGTTTAGCACCTTCTTTGACCTGTTTAAACATCAGCAGCCATGACAGTAAATGGGTGTGTTTTTAATAACCTATATGGTGCACCCACCCACACGTGTAGTCACGATGTTTCAAGAGGAAGAGTCAGAACTACAGCACAATCCAAATGATCATGACTGTTACAACAGATTGAGAGCATCTAATCTTGATGAGTGCCATGC